CACCCGACGTCCCCATCCCGAGATTTCCACTACGCTCCGCGTCCTTTTTCCCTCGCGGCTCGCTTCCCCTCTTCTTCGCCCCTTCGTCACCAGCCCCGCTTCTCTTCCCATCCTCGCGTCGTCCCCACTTTCCGGCCGAGGGAAAAGTTATGGCACCGCTGATCACTGGCCAGGTCGAGGACGGGAGCCACCGAGAATCTGTCCCTCCACTTACACACACTGTCGCACCGTATCCGTGTGCTCCGAGATCGGCTCGACTTCGGCTCGGTAGAGAGAGAACGCGAAACGTCCGTCCGTCCGTCGTTCTTGCTCCTCGTGCCTTCAGATCCAAGCGGCCCGCAGCCGTCGGTCGGCGTTAGGAGCAAGAGCCACGGACTGGAGCCGAGCTCGGAGCACGCGAATACGGTGCGATAGTGTGCGTGAGTGGAAGGGGTGGTTCTCATTGGCTCCCGTCCTCCACCTGGCCACACTGCCCCACGGTGATCCGGGTGATCTCGTCGCTCCCGCCGTCTGACCGGTGCTGCCTGCCGTCTCTGTCGGTCGCTCCTTCACCGACCTTCCCGCCACCTCTCCGACGCCGATCCGCCGTCCTTCCGACCGCCCGCGCCCACGGTCGGTAATCGTCCACTGTCCGCGAGCGTCTCGCGCGCGTACGCCGCGCTTCTCGGCGTTGTCGATCGATGGTCGCGTCGTCGGCTGCTCCGACCGCGTGGCTCGTCGCTCTGGCGCTGCTGCCGCGCCCGTGCTGGTCTCGTCGTGTTGTCGTACCGCCACGGAACGCTCCGTTGCTCGCGTTCGTGTCGTCTGGTCTACCGTCCCGGTGAATCCGCCCACGACCACGTTGCTTCCGTTCTCGTTCCGTTCCACGCGCCTTTCGTCGTCGGGATACCGCGCGCCGCCGTTTCCACGCTGCGCCATGACTTCCCCGCCGCGGACCGATCGTCCCGATCCTGCGGCCAGGTTCCGCTCTCTCGCCGAGAGGTTGGCCGCTTTGTCCACGGACGACCACGACCCCGACGTTCCGTCGTTCGTCCACGCTTGCCTCTGCGATCTCGACCGTCTGGATTACCCCGGCTTCTTCGCGGTTGCCGATCACCACGTGAGTCCGTTTCCGATTCTCGCCGCGCGCTCCGCTACCGCTACCGCTACCTTCTCGTGTCCTCCGCTCTAGGAACGACTGTCCCTCTTGGTCGAACGACTCTGCGCCGTTGTCCAGCCCGCTGCCGAGGTCCTTCTGCTCCGCGCTTTTTGCCGCTTCCTCGCTCGACTGCTGCGAGATCGTCGCCCGAGACTCCCGGACCGTACGCTCGCGTGCTGTCACCGATGGATCCTCGGGATGCTCCGAACCGCTCCGCCTGTCGCGCGCACCCGTGCGCTCCTTCTCGTCGCTTTCAAGAGTCTCTCCGCCCACGCACGGATCGTCGACGCTGATCGCGTGAGTCTCCGCTTCCGTGCGTTCTCTCGGCGTCTGCTCTCGTTCTTTTCCCACCATTCCATCCGTCGACCCCCGACCGTCTGTTCCAGTGTCTTCGGTTGCTGTTGGAGGATCCCGGTTTCCTCGGGTCGTCTTCGGAGCCGTGCGAACGGCCACCGGGTTCGTCCGAACTTCGGTATCGTGCCGTCGATTGTGTCCGAGCGATTTTGTTCCACGGTTGCGGCACCGGTCTTTCTCCGGCCCCGGATCTTCTGCGTAACGTTAAACACGTCGTACTAGACGTCGTCTCGTCCTGCTGCTGCTGCTGCTGCTGCTGCTGCTGCTACTGCTGCTCCTCCTCATCCTCCTCCTCCTCGGACCGAGAGCACCGAGAGGACCGACTTTACAGAACCAGAGTGAGAGACCAAAGAGACAGAGAGAGACTTTGCGACCGTTGTTGTCCTTCGTTGTTCCCTTTTGCAGACCCTGCGTTCCTGCCTGTCAGTTTTGACGATTCTCACGGCTCGTAGACTGCTGCCGTGTTCCGTCGATTACGTCGGTGAGATCCTGGGAGTGGTGCGCACGTTTCTCTTTTACGGCGTCCGAGACCGGTGTCCGATCGCGAAGCCTGCGCCGCTTCGTCCGGCGGTGATGAATCTCCCGGAACCGGTGCGTCCGCTTCCCAGGTGCAAGAATTTCAAGGACCGTAAGGCCAGATCGAGCAGGCAGCCTGCGAGGAACGTCGCCGCGAGCGGCGAGACCGACGCTGCTCCGACGTCCGAAGGTCGCGTCGTCGTCCTCGATGCTGATTCGTGCTCCGATTCCTCCGATACCTCCGACGCCGAGTTCGCCGACGATTCTCTTCTTCTTCGGATCGATTCTACGGTCAGGCTGGAGACCGTCTGCTTGTTCCGAGCGCTCGTCGAGCGTTCGCCGAGCCGCGACCTCTTCGGATTTTGGCCGCAGATCGTTGCCACTGGCTCGCCGAGAGACCACGCCCGCGTACTCGCCAGGAGTGTCTTGACCGAACCCGTCTCCGGGATCAAGCGACGCGCCTTGACCGTCCTCGGGGAGCTGCTCACCGCCGCCAGACCCTTCTTGATGCACGCCGAGGACGTCGATCGTCGTCCCTCCGCGTCTTTCGTCGCGTTCTTCGGTACCGTTTCTCTCATGATCAAGGAACTCCACTTCACGCTCTCCTTGGTCCTCAGCTGTGAGACGAACGTGGCGGTGTTGACCCACGGTTTGAAGGCTGCCGCCGCTTTGATTCGCGCCACGCCGTATGCGCGTTTGAGCCCGGGACTCGCTCGGAGACTCCTCAGAAATTGTAGACCGTACGTCTTTCACAGAGGTGAGCGAGTCAGCGAGGTCGGCGTCGTCGCCTGTCCGATCGGTGCGATCGCACCTCGCCGCGCTGCTCCGTCGCGCCTTTCTTAACGCTCTCGTTTCTGTCCGCACCCGCACAGATCCCACGGTACGCGTCGCTGCGTTGTCGGCGTTCGAGGCGATCGCCTCCTGCGATCCCGTCACTCCGGAGATCTTTCGGATACTCGCCAACGATTCCGTCGCCGATCTGCCGCCCGATAGCCAGTTTCTGCCCGGTCTGTCGAATCCGATCGGCGATCGCGATGCTACGACGACGACGACCACCAACACCACGGACGAGAGAGAACGGGAGGTGGATGCGGAAGACGTCCGCGACGACGACGACGACGACGACGACGACGACGACGACGACGACGACGACGACTACCACCGCTTGGAGGAACCGGTCGGGAACGAGTACGACGAGACGTCGTCCCGGGGGACGAACTTGTCTTTCTTGGTTCGTCGTTGTTTGGACAATGTGTCCGACGAGGTTACGAACGTTTTTCACTTCCCAGGTTCGCTCTTTCCGAGACTGTTTCGTCGTTTGTACCGTCCTCACCGCCACCGCTTGTGTCTCTCTTGCAGACGATGAATACACCTGTGCGCCTGCAGTCTTTGAGACTGATCGGCAGACTGGCGTTCGGTGGTGCTGGAAGTTTGATACTTTCGCGCTTGCCACTGATCTTACCCGTTTTGATCCGAGTCATCGACGACGACGCGGACGACGAGGACCGTCACTGTCACCGTGACGACTCGGAGACGCCGGTAGCGTTGCATGTTTGCCGAACGCTCGAGATCCTGGCCGGCTGTTTCTCGACCACCGTCGACGAGAACGACCGCTGCTCGTCGGATCGTTCGACGGCGGAGAATGACGATCGTGCTTTCGTGTTCTGGAACGCTGTGCTTGATCCTGTCGCCCGGCTCGCGCGACACCCGCGGACCGTCGTCAGAGAAGCTGCGTGCGATTGCCTGGGCAGCGTCCATTCTACCGTGTTCGCTCGACTTCCGGTGAGTCCGGTGTAGAGAGTCGATCTGATCTTCGATCGAATCGTGAACGAGACGATGGTGACGCGATCTGAACGACCGGAATGATCGGTACACCGTCCTCTTCGTCCGAGAGAATTCGATCGTTCCGGTTCTTTCGAGTTCGCACGAGTCACGAGTCTGTTCACGATTTGTCTGTGCGTCGTCTGTTCCCGATGTTCATCCGTGATTTTACGAACGTTGTTTTAGAGACAAAAAGCAGTTTTGATTATTACAGTACTGTTTGGCGCGGTACGCGATACGGAGAGTGCTGTGAGAGCTGCTGGATTACGGTCGCTGGGTATGTTGGTCGCTCTGCCCGCGTTGCGGGAAGAGACTGGTTTTCTCATGGACCTGGCCGACGTTGTATGTTCGACCGCGGCCGACGACGCGAATCTCGGGGTTCGCGTTAAAGCGGCTTGGGCGTTGGCCAATCTGTGCGATCGTCTCCGTGGTCTCGTCGAACGAAAGTGAGTGTCGACGACGACGACGACGACGACGACGATGACGATCTCGTCCGTAGATCGCTTTTGTCGAACGCTTGCCGACGATTCCCTCCCTCCTCCCGTTTCAGCTGTCGGAGCAGGGATCGCGAAGGAACGGAGCCGACGATTCCCTTGGGCACGTTGCTGCCGAGAATGTATCGAGTCTGTGTCCAAGGATCCAAGGACAACGACAAGGTCAAGTGCAACGCCGTCAGAGCGCTGGGAAGTGTTCTGTGCCTGTCTGTTGTCTCTGACGCGGAACCACGCGTGTTGAAGGACGCGTCCTCGGGATTCGAGGCTCTCGTCGATTCCGCTACCGTCGGAAACGACATGAAGGTACGGTGAAAACGGTATGATTTCTTTTCTTTCGACGTCCGTCGAGATTCGGATCTCGATGATCGATCTGTGTGCCGTAGGTCCGTTGGAACGCTTGTCGAGCTCTGGGCCTGATTCTGAGCGACCGTCCGGACGACGTGTTGCCCTCCTCCTGGCGAGTACGTAGCGATCCTGAGAAGCACGCGCGCGCTCGTTTTGTCTTCTCTCTCCGTCGGGCACGAGTGTGTTTGATACGAGATTCGCTTTCGCAGGATCGAGCGCTTCCTGCGTTGTGCGACCTGATTTGCGACAGTCCGAACTTCAAAGTGCGTACCAACGCGGCATGGGCACTGTACTCGTGCCATTCGTATGGGAGATACCCGATTCATCGTTTGTGGAAGAGTCTCGTTTTGGCGTTCGAGAATACTCGCCACGTACCGAGTTACGTCGAGTATCCCCATCGCGACGCGCTCCTTCGACAGGTAAACACACGGGTTCGCGCCCGTCGACGTCCGAGAGTCGACGACCGATCGACTCTCGCCTCGCCGTCGGCAGCGTCCTTTGCTTCGTCATCTCGTGTGCGTGTACTTTTTAGCTGTGCGTTACGCTCGGTCACGTGGCTGGCTGTACGGAGGTGTCGGACTTGCGAAACGTTTGGGCGGAGATCGGTGACCACGTGGACGATGTCTCCGGCTACGTCAGACAGTTCCAAGTATGATGCGCGCACGTGTGTAGCCTGTTCGTGTCCGAATTCCGATCGAACATCAAACGTGTGTGTGTGTGTGTCTGTCTGTTTGTTCTAGGAGACTGTGGTGCCTGAGAAGATGGGAGATGTGATCGGAGCGAGAGCTCGGTTGGAGAGCTGTGCGAGAGACGCCCCGTCGGTGGAAGAACGAAGAATTGCGCGATCTTTGAGTAGGATTTTTGAAAGGAACGAACGACACGACGATTTAGACAGTACCGTGGTTTAACGATGTACAATTTTATAAAATGAAAATACATTTGTTGTGTCTCGATCAGGTTCGTTGAGCTCGTTCTTCGGTCGAATCCTTCGTACCCCGTTCCCTCTTCGTTCCGTGTATCCGTGGACCGTTTGACCGTTGTCGTCGTTTCCTGGATTCGTCGTCGTCGTCGTCGTCTGCTGATACTCGTTTGCTGTCGGTCTCCTTCTTATCGGATTCGTTCGATTCTGACGTGCTCTTGGCTCGTTCGTCGTTTTTCGGTCCGTTGTCCGTCGATTCGTGACCATTGCTGTTGTCGTCTGAACTTTTTTCGTCCGAGTTACCGTCCTCTACTTCCTCCTCCTCCTCCAGCTGTTGCTGCTCGTCCTTGTTCGATGTACGAGACTTCTGGGGAATCTGGTCGGTAGTTTTCATCCGCTTTTTCTCCTTCCATTTCTGCTTCTTTCTCAGTCTCTTTGCCCTCCTCTTTGCCGTTACTTCTTCGGCCATCCTTTTGTTTTCTTCGATTTTTTTATGGTACTCTTCGTCTAAGATTTCCTGCCGAGAACGAGACCGAGAAGGATGTTAATTAGGGAACCAGTCACTCGCCGAGCTATGTTTTACACCGAAGACCCTACTTACCTTGTGACTCTTCTCTTGAATGAACTTTTGCCTCGCGTATTCTTTGCGCCTCAGATGTCTGTAAACGTGAAACTCTCCACTGCCTGCACCGGCACTGCTACCCATCACGTTTCGTACGAATTCCGGCACTGTAGGCGTGTTCTTGAGTCTCGGCCTCTCGGGCAGTACCACGGGCTTTTCCTGTTGTAGCCCGCCACGACGACGACGACGACGACGACGAACAATGAAAAAACATTTAGGAGACGCGTAACGAAATAATGACAGAATCAGTGAATGAAGTATATATCAGAAATGAAGTATACCGGATTTTTCATTAACTTTTGGAGCTTCAATCGTTGCAGGTCGATCGCTGTCTTGGCAACGACGGGTTTCTCTTCCTCCTCGTCTTCTTCTTCTGCTTCTTCTCCCGCTTCTCGTTCTCTCTCCTTGTTCTCTGGCATTGTACGCGTACAATTTGCTGTTCTACGGGAACCACTTCGTCCTACGACCCGACGATTCGTCCACGTTGGAGCACGGTGCACCACTGTCGATAGTTTCCTCTCGATACGCGGCAGCGGCAGCGGCGGCGTCGTCGGCACGCCGAGCGAGAACCCCGGGCGTGAGCACTCTCCTTCACCCCCCACTTCTCTGGGGTCGGTGGTGGTGGTAATAGATGGTATATAGTACCAGCAGAAGGCTTTCGATATTGACGCACATCGACGCGCTTGTCGAGGCGAGCGGAGGAAGTGTGTCGAGCTGGAGAAGGTCGAGGATCCTGTAGTAGGTAATCGTCCGAGAGTTCTTCTGTCAGATTCAAAGTTACTTGTCGCCGCCGGACCGAATTACTTTCTCGTTCCAGTAGCGACTGACGCGCGATGTCGGATACGACGGTGGTCGATGAACGGTAATCTTTATGAGATATCCTCGACTGCTATTAAACAGTTTCCGATGATTGTCCGATTTCGTTTACGACGTGTTCAAAACGCGTTTTCCAGGGTAGCCGACGAGATTGAAGCGTTGAGGGCGATTTTACTCGACGACGAGTTACACATAAAGGAAAACGAAAGGTACTTTCGACTCGTCTACTCTCTCTGCGTGTAACCTACTAATGATCGAATGAAATCAACTGTCACTCGTGGAGTGCACGCGTGTGTGTGTGTGTGTGTGTGTGTATGTACGGAACTACTGGCTCGCTTGTTTCTCAGTTTTTCTGTTCTGTAGATCTGGTGATGCTTTCGGTCGTAGGTAAGTGGTAGAATTGTACGGATGATTTTCACGTGTATATTTTCTTCTTCCTTGGCAGAGGTGAACCGGAGTGCATCGAGACCGTGTTGTTCCCTTCTACCGGTGAAGATTCGCAGTCACAGTATGTTTGTGTCACGTTGATCGTTCGGTTACCCGTGGGATATCCCGATACGTCGCCGACCATTAGTCTGCGAAATCCCAGAGGTCTGGACGAGGACACGGTGAGGCTCATGCGATCGGACGCCGAGGCAAAATGCAAGGATTTTATAGGCCAGCCTGTTATGTTCGAACTCATCGAGGTACGTGGTGGCCCGTAACTATCTGATACGATTACTTGTCGCGACGACGGCTCGTCGGATGCATCGTTATTGTTGGTACACAGTTGATAAGGGAGCACCTTACCAGAAGTAATCTTCCAACGGACCAGTGTGCCGTGTGCCTGTATGGTTTTCGGGACGGGGACGAATTTACGAAGACCGAGTGTTATCATTACTTCCATTCTCACTGTTTAGCGGCACACATTGCCGCCGCGGAACGATATTACCGGGAGGAACAAGAAAAGTTGCCTCAATGGCAACAAGACGCTACTGACAAATTCCAGGTACACCCCTACGATCGTTTGTCGTATGGTGATTTCTGGTGTGCGCGAGCGAACGTAAAGCAATGTTCTTCGCAGGCTATATGCCCCGTCTGCCGAGAATCTATCAACTGCGACGTGGACAGCCTGTGGTCTGCTCCGCCTCCGGTCGACGTTGAAGCTGCTACGGATTTCTCGGTGACCACGGAGCTGAGAGAATTACAAAAACAAATGGCAGCGTTGTTTTTGAGGCAACAACAGAAGGGTGGTATAATCGATCTGGAGGCCGAAGGCGTGAAAACTTTAGTCAGAACGGAACTGGACGGTGCTACGACCGAAGGACCGAATCCTCCGGGAACTAGTCTAAATACCTATTCCAGTCCAGCTGTGCAGCAGGAGTCGGCTGTTAATCATCATCACACGGTACGATTTACCGTGTACGACCACCGCGCGTTGTCCTACCGGTGTATATACCGGGAGTCGTGGGTACCTGAAGAACGATCTGTCCGTTTGTTTTAGCAGCAGCACCAAAACAACCAACACCATCACCACCACCACCACCACCACCAAATGCCTCAATCGAAACAATCCTCGCATCAGACGCATGCTGCTCACTGTCAGTCGAGGCAACTGCATTATCACCACGGACACAACAATAATCACGGTCATCGGAGCAGAGGTCGCGGACGAGGCTATTCGTCTCGCCGCCAGTTCGACAGAGTCAGCAGGCAAACAGAGTCTACTCCCAGATGACAATGGGTTCGAGATAAATTACTGTCCACTGTTTGGTCTTCTATTTTGCTAAATGTATACAGTAATATGAATAATAGCATCGGTAGCATAATTACGAGTATGTTACGTAATGTTTGTTTCGTTTCGCATTACTTTTACGCGATTACGAAATGATAGGTACAATCGTTCGACGACATTCCCGTTCTAATGATACACGATGTGTGTGTGTGTGTGTGTGTCTGTCTGTCTGTCTGTGTCTGTGTCTGTGTCTGTGCGCGCGCGCATACAAATATACGTGGTATAAAGTGGACTGTAACGAAAATTCACGAAGGACTGTCTGTCTGTCTGTCTGTGCGTAGACTGAAGCCATGGTGCTCTTTTAAAATCATCGATCTACGATCATGAAAAGCTTTTTGTTTTCACACACACATACATGTACGTAAATATGTACTACGCGGAACTGTACCTAAGTAGTTGACGCTGTTTGGCGTGACGAATAATAACGAAACGAGTCGTCGCGTGCAGTGTGCGACGGCAATGTAAACGTGCGTTTCGATTTTCCAAACTCCGACTTTGGTGCTCTAGTTGTTCTTACCGTAATTGCGAATGAGCGAGAGAAACGGGGGGGGAGGGCTTTGGGCGAACGTGCGCAATCAAAATGTTACGCTGAGAATATTTTACACACGAGTGATTGAGAAAAATTGAACGGTCTCGACGCGCGCCGTAAAAGTCGAATTTATTGAACCATCGTTTTATAATCGTCTCTGAGCGCAAATTTCGCGATTCGTAATACTCGTTTCTGTGCGCGCGGAATTTCATTATTGATACGTCAGATCGTGATACGTATATAACGACATGGATCGATGTTGTCTAAGCGTGTAATACCGCGGATATTCATCCCTTCGAAGCAGGGAGCGAAAAGTTCGTTCTTGCTCTTACACTTTAGAAGCAATGTAAAATCTTTAGAGAGAAAAAATATATATGTATATATACACGTATACATACTTTCTTTTTGTTCGAGAGATTATCGTCCAACAGCTGCACGTTCAGATTAGTGTGTCTCGTTCGATCCGAAATACTTCGTGTTTGAACGTTTGAATACCGGATGTCTATATTCGCGAGACGATGTTCACGTCCTATCTTTGATTTTTTGCGATCAATTTCCATTTTGTATTCTACATTTTGGTCGGATTTATTCTGTCGTCGGCAGAATCTTCCTCGTTTGATAGTGTGATGGGATTATGAAAGGGCGATAGGAAGAAATTAAAGAAAGATTTTTGAGATATATTGAATCGTTCCGGTTCGCAATGATTCGTTGATACGTTAGTGTCCACTGGTTGGAACCAAGTCCGTTCCCCGAGCGTGTGGCAATAATAAATTCATCGGGTTGTTTTTGACACGTCCATACGCACGAGTATATCGTTTAGATGGCCAAGTTCTGATCTCTGACAGACACGATCGACACGATAGTTTCGAAAACGCTTCGATCTAATATTTCGAAACTTGCAAAATTCGTTCTCAATGATTTCGCACAATTCTGATCTGTAATTACATCGAGTCTTCGTGTTCGTATTATACTGGTTACAGTGTCTCTCTCTCTCTCTCTCTCTCTAAGCATCGGTAGCATAATTACGAGTATGTTACGTAATGTTTGTTTCGTTTCGCATTACTTTTACGCGATTACGAAATGATAGGTACAATCGTTCGACGACATTCCCGTTCTAATGATACACGATGTGTGTGTGTGTGTGTGTGTGTGTGTCTGTCTGTCTGTCTGTCTGTGTCTGTGTCTGTGTCTGTGTCTGTGCGCGCGCGCATACAAATATACGTGGTATAAAGTGGACTGTAACGAAAATTCACGAAGGACTGTCTGTCTGTCTGTCTGTGCGTAGACTGAAGCCATGGTGCTCTTTTAAAATCATCGATCTACGATCATGAAAAGCTTTTTGTTTTCACACACACATACATGTACGTAAATATGTACTACGCGGAACTGTACCTAAGTAGTTGACGCTGTTTGGCGTGACGAATAATAACGAAACGAGTCGTCGCGTGCAGTGTGCGACGGCAATGTAAACGTGCGTTTCGATTTTCCAAACTCCGACTTTGGTGCTCTAGTTGTTCTTACCGTAATTGCGAATGAGCGAGAGAAACGGGGGGGGAGGGCTTTGGGCGAACGTGCGCAATCAAAATGTTACGCTGAGAATATTTTACACACGAGTGATTGAGAAAAATTGAACGGTCTCGACGCGCGCCGTAAAAGTCGAATTTATTGAACCATCGTTTTATAATCGTCTCTGAGCGCAAATTTCGCGATTCGTAATACTCGTTTCTGTGCGCGCGGAATTTCATTATTGATACGTCAGATCGTGATACGTATATAACGACATGGATCGATGTTGTCTAAGCGTGTAATACCGCGGATATTCATCCCTTCGAAGCAGGGAGCGAAAAGTTCGTTCTTGCTCTTACACTTTAGAAGCAATGTAAAATCTTTAGAGAGAAAAAATATATATGTATATATACACGTATACATACTTTCTTTTTGTTCGAGAGATTATCGTCCAACAGCTGCACGTTCAGATTAGTGTGTCTCGTTCGATCCGAAATACTTCGTGTTTGAACGTTTGAATACCGGATGTCTATATTCGCGAGACGATGTTCACGTCCTATCTTTGATTTTTTGCGATCAATTTCCATTTTGTATTCTACATTTTGGTCGGATTTATTCTGTCGTCGGCAGAATCTTCCTCGTTTGATAGTGTGATGGGATTATGAAAGGGCGATAGGAAGAAATTAAAGAAAGATTTTTGAGATATATTGAATCGTTCCGGTTCGCAATGATTCGTTGATACGTTAGTGTCCACTGGTTGGAACCAAGTCCGTTCCCCGAGCGTGTGGCAATAATAAATTCATCGGGTTGTTTTTGACACGTCCATACGCACGAGTATATCGTTTAGATGGCCAAGTTCTGATCTCTGACAGACACGATCGACACGATAGTTTCGAAAACGCTTCGATCTAATATTTCGAAACTTGCAAAATTCGTTCTCAATGATTTCGCACAATTCTGATCTGTAATTACATCGAGTCTTCGTGTTCGTATTATACTGGTTACAGTGTCTCTCTCTCTCTCTCTCTCTCTCTCTAGTCCGCCGGATACAATAACGATTGGAGCAGCGACTTGTTTTTCCGTTTCTATTTCATTGTAACTACCTTCCGATTTCGCGTCTGATTTAATTCTTCTGTATTAAATAAATGTACGAATATTTCTACACTGTCGTTTCTCACTTTTATTCTCTCTTTCGAAGAAAGCGAAGAATTTCAGCCAAGTTCTCGTCCATGTCGCGCTCTTATAATTTATTTTAAATTGTTTTCGCAACTTTAACTTAGAAGGAATGAAACATAGTTAATACGATAATTGAATACTGTATGCTGTGCACCACCGTTCTTTTAACTTGTTAAGCTTCAATTTTAAGTGATCGAGTTCCTCTTGTACCGGTTTAGGAAACTCCTTACTTCGAGACAGAACGTTGGTAACTGTTTCCACTAATACTGGGTCGAGAGATCTGGGCGATGGAACGTCGATGGAGGCGATGGAACTAGTAATACTATTGTCACCGTATCCTTCGTCGTCCACGACACTTTCGCTCGTCGAATTCTTCACGAGTGTCTTCGATTGGCCTTTTGAATCCTGTTCGCAGAAAAGAGATGATGGAATAAAAACAGGATGGAATAGGCTGGCGTCGCGCGCGCGCGCGGTATCTGAACCATCGACGTGTACACGACGATGGGGTCGACGATGGAACAACGGATTATTACCTTGTTTCTTGTCAACGTCTGTTTTAGACACTCCGATACCTCCGCCTGGTTTCTCTGCAATGGAAAAAAAGAAAAATAGGACACGTGTTAGTTGACGTATAGTACGACTCGACGTGCGACAGTATAGAAAGTAATGCGCGCGAACCGTATTGCTTGTGTGCCGCTTGAGTTCTACGTTGCGAAGCTTGTTCTCCAAGCTTTTGACTTTTCGTTTCTCTTGCCGTAGTCTTCTGATCAGAGCGGTGTTAGCTTCGTACGATAACGTTTTCAAACGTCCGTTCTCGATTATCACGTCTTGCATCGAGCTCAGTTTAGTTTCTGCTTCTGCATTTTTCGATCTCAGAAGCTTGTACCGAGCAATCATTTCAGTTAGTTGGATTTGCAATTGGAATGTTGCATTCTCTATCTGACTTTGTTCCTGTTTGGAAGAAAGCAGAGTCGTCTGCAATGCATCGTTCTCCGATTTCAATTTTTTAATGTCGAGCTGCGTCTTACGCAACGCGTCGGCAGTTTGATTTTTTTCGCTCTCGCATCTTTGCATGTTTCCTTCCATGATTTCTATCAATACACGTTGTTTAGCCAACGCGTTCTCCATCGATGCTTTGGATACTTCGTGGCCCAAAAGTCGTTTTTCCAATGTTTTCAATTCCGCTTTCGTACCTCTCAGTTCGTCCTCCGTCGATTCCAACTTTGTAGAGATATCATCTGCTGAAGTGTTGGTACTGCCGCCGCCGCCGCCGCCGCCGTTGGTACCGATGCTCGATAATTCTGGAATACCTGCGTTTAATCGATGTGCCTTCGAGTTCTCGCGTTCCAAGCTGTGCTTCTCCTTTTGACGGTCCTGTACGAGTTCCATGTAATCCGCGTTCAATTGTTTATACCTCGAGTTTATACTCGCTATCGTTTGTTGCCTCTGGTGTAGGATCCCTTGATAAGTGTCGATTTCTAATTGTAAAGTCTTCCTGCTCGCCTGCAAACCGTATACTTGTGATTGGTACCATTTCGCAGATGCCTCCGCTGCACCCAAACGATTCGTCACGTCCGTCAACGTGTTCTGCAACTTTTGCTTCTGTTGAACTACTACTTGCATCTCCACGTACAGTTCCGTTATCTTCCCTTTCAGACCTTCGTTGGCTGCGATCCTTGCGTTCAACTCGATACGCGTGTTCTCCAAATCCATCCTGAGTCGTTCGTTCTCTAATTCTAACAATGCCACGCGTTTCGACAATTCCGTGTTTGAAACGCCGCCGTCGGGTGTCGACGAATGCTTCATGTGAAACTGTTCATCTAAATGCAGGGAATCTGTGGTCGTCGTCGTTGACGTAACAGAGTCTAATTCCCCTTTAAATGAATCGGACCAAGTGTCCATTGTTTCGTGCAACAATTTGCATTTATGACGTGCTGACCGATACGAAGATTCTACAAAATTCGTTTATTCGCGTCAGGTGTGACGTGTCAGGGCAGACATGCAGATTCGTTAATAATACAGTTTTATAATGTTAACACATTTCGCTTCGTAATCTCTTTACGATGTCTCCATTTCGTATTTTCGTAATACGCATCGTATACGCATCGACGAGTATACTGAACGTCGTCGTAGTATGACATGTGTCAGCAGCAGCATCAGCTGCAGTTGCGTACGTGAATACGGTGAATACTACACGCACTGCGTACGACAGACTACTTGAAAATACAAATCGTAGTAAAAGATCTATCCGTCTTTTAAAATGTCGCTTGGCATTACGCAACTATTTATCGGAGCACGCGACGAGCGAAGTCTTCAGTGAATTGTATTATTCTTATACAAAATCTGTGCAATTTTACTTGCTGTTCGCTGCGCTTAAATGCAGATCTCGTATGTCCGCACCTCCGCCGCACTGTCCGTCTGCCGCCGTACGCTTTGTGGAAGAAGCATAATCTCATGAGAACGAACTATAGTACGCTATAGCTATACATACATGTACATATCAAGGAATCGAATATCGAATAATCTGACGCTCTCGACGACGCTTCGCGTAAAACTGTATCAAGAACGATCTGATTGTAATCAGACTGACAGGCGAAATATTTCCTCATCTCTGGGCGTGCGATCAAGATTTTATATTATTCATGCATCGTCGTCGTCGTCGTCGTCGTCGTCGTCTGTTATGGCGCCAGCGTCGCGCCGCGTCGCTCCAGGATCCAGAAGATTTTCCGTCCGACAGCAACGCTCGCAACTCTCGCATCGCAAGTCGCAGCCAGCAGGGTGGACGATAATCTCAGTGAATCGGTGGTGAATCTCAGAATCAGTAGTGCCAAGTAGCGCGCATGGTCGTTCGCAACAACTTCGACAACGTCTGCTGGTCGCTGCTGGTGATTAAGGGTGGGTCTGTTCCTTTTTGCGGGAGGGGTCGTGTAAACGAGCACGAGGAAATAAAAAGACGAACACGAATAATAATCTGCAGCACGGGTGGCCAGGGTGGCCAGTCTCGTTGCTAGACTTGAACCGCGCGCAGGCAGGGGAAGAAAAGGACACCGTGAATCGCTGTCGAGAGGTGTCGATCGAATCGGCATATCGGTGTTTATTGACAGCGAAACAGTGAACGAAAATTGGTGAATGGTGTTCGCACAAAGATTTGCGCTATCTTTCCCTAATTTCCACAGTTCCCTCCTTCGTTCGACCCGATTCCCCATAAAGATTCAATCCCCTATAACGCTCTAGTCGCTCCTCCGTTTATGGCTGCAGTCCGGGGTGGGGGAAAACAAGCTGTATAACGTCGTATAATTTCGAAGCTTATATGCAGGAATATGTCAAGTTTAAAAATCGGTAAGTCGCTGCCATTTGTTTCGTTTCTTTTGTTGTGTCGTCGGCCCGTTTGCGATTCCGAGTTTCCGAGTAAAGCATATCATTCAGTCAATCAGTCAGCCAGTCAGTCAGTCAGTCAGTCAGTCAGTCAGTCAGTCAGTCAGTCAGTCAGTCACGCAGTCGAGTTCGAGACAAAGAAAGCGGCTGAGCCGACTGTTGTCCCTCCCTTTGCATCCAACATGCTTCTACGTTTGCATTCATAGTTCGATGTACGATGGTAGCCGAGAAGGTAACACACGATACGTATATTTTGTGACACACGGCATTGAACCTCGCCTCGACAGTTACCGTACTCTCGTTCGCAAGATTCGTGCGGTGAGGGAGGTACTTACTATGCACACGCAAGGAATTTAACTTTTCCTCGGCTCTCACCGTGTCTTACGCGTTCTGCGATCGAGTATGTAAATACATAGACCGCACGTTCGCGTGTTCCGCATCGAGTCATCGCTTGTGCGACGTTTGCCGAATTTTTACACTGCATTGTATTACCTATAAGACGAGACGTATACGAGTTTGTTGTTGTTGTCGTCGTCGGGAGAGAACTTCTGTTCCTTTACGTTGATCTCGCGCGTAAGCTTCTTTGACATTCCTGTCGCACAGGATCGAGTAGAATCTTGTGTCAACCACACTTTGTATTCCTTCGTTCTGTTTTCCCACGAACAATTACATTTTGTACATTACGATTCGTACGAATTCTTCGCTTATACGACTTTGTACTTTCTGTATAGATCTTTTTTTCTTAGATAGCTTTACTAGTAAATCAGCATGAATGTTTAGTGTTTTATTTGAAAAATCTGTTGTATCATCTGTCCCTTCGTCGTAATCATCGTCATTATCATTGCCGTCAGACGTGTACACGTATTCTTAACGTCAAACGTCTTAAATTGATTCGACGTGTACGTTATTATTGTACTGATAGAGGTAATACTACTAGGTTCAGTTTCCAAGTACGTTTATATGTAATGCAGTTTATTAATGATATGTACCCGTGACGATAATGTTTACTGTGCTGTCGCTTGTATTGAGAACTTCTGAACGAGCTTGTGTACATTATATTTGATTAAAGACTGAACGATGTTTCAAGCAGATAATTAAGCAACGATTTAACGATATGATTCATTCGATAACGTATCAAAATCTTGTGTGTGTGTATATACCTTTATCATGTATTGTGTATTATGCCAAGTTTAATGATTGTTTCATTTTCTCTAAAGTGTCGGTAATGCACTTGCTTGCCCTACTGCTACCCTTGAGAATGACGGACTCTGAGCAAAGAAATCAGCAGGTATATCAACACTAAACAAAAAAAGCTAAAGAATGAATGCCTGCTGCACTCACGCCGCCGACACAGAACAAGCAGACTTAACTACTAATTTATGCGAGTAGCGAGTGAGTAGCAGCTACTCACTACACCACCACCAACCACCACCACATTCAGACGTATATATCTTTTTTCGCACATGGCAGCCATGAAGCATGGTACGTTTTATTCTTGTATGCTTTGCTTTGAATGGAAGTTTATTTTTTGTTTCTAACTGAAATCCGGGCATAGCCTACGAAGGGAAAAAAGTCAAAAATCGATACGTTCTCGTCTAAAGTATAGTATACTTTCGTACATACTATATCGTGCATAGATGATAGACGATATCTCGTCGAGACAGGTCTTTTTTCTACGATACGATACGATCGTCTGTAACGACCGACTATTTATTTTATTTTTTTCATTTGTTTTCAGTTTAATTGACACGTACTACGGTTTAACGTTAGATTACAAACTATTACGTATAGTCTAGACTCTGGTTAACTGTCGTCGTTGCTGGCTCGAAGCATCGAGCAGGGCAAAAGAACTGAAACGGCCTTCGAGACAGTGTTTCTTTCCTTCTTTCTATCCCGAAGTCAGTCGCGTTCGAATCGCAATCGGTCGATCGGTTTTTCGTTTCGATCGTCGTCGTCGTCGTCGTCGTCGTTTCTTTCGCGGAGTAAAAGAAAAAAGGAAAAATAACGAAAATTGAACTAGTATAGAATGGCTATTGTAAGTCATTTACTGTAGACGGATGATGATGATGATTGGTTTCAGGCAAGACGAGTCAAGACGACGTATGTTATGTTGTCGCCAAATATGACTATGGAGCACAGGGTGCTCAGGAGTTAGACTTGCGTAAGAACGAACGTTACTTGCTCCTTGATGATTCGAAACACTGGTGGAGAGTACAGAGCGCTAGAGGGCAAGCTGGTTACGTGCCGAGCAATTATGTTAAAAAGGAGAAACCGTCCCTTTTTGACAGTATCAAGAAGAAGGTCAAGAAGGGCTCGGGTTCGAAGACTCTACCATCCGGTAACTCGCCATCCAGAGCCGTAGAATCCCCGATTATGGCCAGACGGCTTCCCGCTGATCCGAGCGAGGCGATAGGCACGGCGGTGGTCAAATACAACTATCAAGCGCAACAAGCAGACGAACTGTCGCTCGTGAAAGGCACTAGAATCTTAATATTGGAAAAGAGCAACGATGGCTGGTGGAGAGGTCAGAGCGGTACGCAAGCAGGCTGGTTTCCGTCGAATTATACTCAAGAGGAAGGTGATGCGGACGATACTCTTCACACGTACGCGATGGCGGAGAACGTTCTCGATATCGTCGTCGCCCTTTATTCGTTTTCTTCCAACAATGATCAGGAACTGTCGTTTGAGAAAGGTGATCGTTTGGAGATCCTCGACCGTCCACCGGCAGATCCTGAATGGTACAAGGCGAGAAACAGCCAGGGCCAAATAGGCCTGGTGCCACGGAACTATCTCCAAGAGCTGAGCGAGTACTTGACGCAACCGTACCGCGAGACCCGGGGAATGACGGGTAGTAGCGAGATCGGCACAGCGGCGGGAGATTCTCTGGAAAGAAGGCCAGATCCCGGCGACAGGCCGCATCTCATTGGAAAACCTTGGTATTATGGCAGCATTTCGCGTTCGCAATGCGACACTTTATTGAATCAACATGGTCACGACGGTGATTTTTTAATTAGAGACAGTGAAACTAATGTGAGTAAACGTTGCCGTCGCGTAGTCATCGGCATCGTTGTTTTTTAACATCCGCGTAACCAAACTATTTTCAACTTTTTTTTGCAGGTGGGAGATTATTCGGTATCCTTGAAAGCTCCAGGACGTAACAAACACTTTAGGGTACACGTGGAAGGAGCGTTATATTGTATCGGTCAAAGGAAATTCCATACGCTAGACCAATTGGTAGATCATTATCAACGAGCGCCTATTTATACTAACAAGCAGGGTGAGAAGTTGTATTTGGTGCGTCCATTACCAAAAAGCAACCCCAATAGCAACGGTTGCTAAGTGGTGGTGTGGTGAGAGGAGTGTGTGCCATCGTGCCATGAAATACGGTCCATGCGCTTTCGCCACATCGTATCCTCCGTGTAAGACACACGCAGAGAGACAAAGAGATACGCAATGCCTGCCTAGTAATATCAATATCACACACACACACACACACACACATCTCGTATGTTTATACGTAACAATTAATATAATTGATGAACTCGTATATTAGTGTTTCTTGATTGTTTGTCCTTGATTTACACTGATCGAAATAATTTATTACTCGATAAGCGAGCGATTCAGTCACCGACGCGATTCTTATCATTCATTGTCGAGCTTCCATACTGTCCGTTAGCCAACGAAAAGGTAAAAGATGGAACGACGACGGGGAGAAAAATAAAAATACATTTGTACGGCAGCTGTAATAATAATAATAATTGACGATCGACTAGTTATGGCTTCTCTTTATATCTCATAATATGTAACAATTGTAAAACACCGAACCGACCATGTTATTACGACTAATAATGTATTTACAATTACACGTAACGTAGACTGCAAGTGTGTAACATGATCGACAGTAACGCGGTTAATTATCACATGCAATTAATAACGATCATCGATTAAGTGGATCTCTACTCTGAATCTATTGGTATTGAATTATGGCAAAGACTAAGTGTTCATTTGTGATTTTGTATTTATTAGAAATTTTTAAGTGAATAAACTATATTTAAGTGTGCATCAGGTAAAAAGGGTTAAAATTCATTTTTAATCCCATTCCGCGCGCGAAAAGGAAAAGCAGCGGCGGCGAGGTGTGTCGGCCGTGAACAGTGTCCCGACGAGAGAGTCGACGATTTCGATAAGACGATACGCGACACACAGAATTGGTAACAAATATTAATCTTTATTTAACGTATATATTATATTCATAAATAAAAGTATTATTTAGTTATACGAGTAAAAGAGATTGGTGCTCCTGGAGAGATATACGAGTTAATGGCACTAACTGCCGGTCACGTATAAACGATTGCCCTGAACTAAACATACTTTAGGTCTGTATTATTTGTTCGTAGTTCCATTAAAAACTTGAGCTTACTTCATCATAAGAAAGGATTGTTCGAATTTCTTGTCATGTTGCTCGCTACTGGACCGGAACCGACCTTAAATCAGAGACAGAGAAGCCTCAGACACATTGTTTCGTTTGATCTCGTAACGTCGCATGACTTGATGAATCAGCAAGTCTTATCGTTAAACTATAATTATTTATATCGTGATTTTTTTTCGTGAAATATAGAATTCGTACCATGAATGGATTCGCATGGTACGCTGGATGAGTCGGTTGCCATACTCTCTTGTTCGTCGTCGTCGCCGTCCGTGTCATTAGTTCACTGAACTGAATAACGTCCCTTCCGTTACTAGACGGTCCGATGGTCCCTACCCATTGTGGATCTAAAACGGTAGGTGTACATTATCGTTCGGTCACTCGTTTCTTCTTACATTCGTTTCAGATGGTGCGTCGAATTAAGACCAATTACCATTGTTCATAGGAAATTGTACAGGTTTAAAAGGATTGACAGGATTGTACGAAGAGGTATCGATCGATGATTGTGTATTATTGTTAACTACGTTAGCTGATGGTTGCCATAAATCGTTGGTCGCAAACGGATTTGAGATCACGTTCGCGGTTTGATTTCCTACACCGCTCCAAATCGGATTCTGCGAAGCTGAAAGAAGAACAGAATGTACGTAGCTACACTACAGGCAGATAGAGTAAAGTAATACGCCGAGAAATGTGTGGCTAGGAGCGGGTAGATACTTTGAATGAAAAGTGAAAAATTTCAAGATACGATACCATTGTTGTATGTAACACCACCGCCGCCACCACCGTTGCTGGTAGCTGTCCATGCAGACGTGTTTGACCCCGTTGTACTATCTTTCGTATCGTCCTTCATTTGTTTCATTAAAGAGTCCAAGTCTTTCAGTGCCGCGTAACGATCTTCGGACGGAGGTAATACATACGCCCCGTTTGCATTCGTTGCATTGGCAGAGTTTCCACCGATTGTTAGCCGACTAACAGGACTTACCGCGAATTGGTCGACTGCTGGACCTAGGGACGGAGAATACATTCGTCGTTAGATGAAAATGCGCGCCCATGTCGCGTTGTAAAGATCGACGTAATATGTGATGTGATTCTATCGCGGTTTACTTGTACATTTGTTGTTTCGACTATCGAAGATGGGATTGTTGTCAAAATTGGCAAAGAACTGAGGTGATTGAGGTATGATCGTCGGTTGACCAAGTCTGTTCGCAGCAGCCGTTGTGTCAGACGAGACGGTGTTGGTAGTGGTGCCGCTGCCGCCGCCGCTGCCGATGGTAGTAAACGGATCGGGAACTTTACTAAAATCAGCTATGAAATCTGCCGAGAAATTCGAGTTGAAGTTAACAACGTTGTTCGTTTTCAGAGCTGATGTCGAAGACGGTAATGTAGTGGTCCCAGAATGCGGTACTCGTGGAATGACAGTTTGATTCGAAGGCTGTTGCGTCTTTTGATTTGAGTTTTGATTCGCCATGGACGGATCCAAGTAATATCTCTTAAGCTCGTATTTCGCGCTCATCAGATCTTTCATTTTCTGTTCATCTTTCGTGTCTACCGTGATCGGTGGTGGCGAATTCGGCGGATTCGTCAAGCCTAGCCATATTCGCCTGCAGTGTTCGTTACCACGTTCCTTTATAAAATCTATTTCCTCCTGTGTGAACGTTGCCATGGAGATAGATTTTACTCTGTGTGGTGGTGTCAATCCCCGCCTGGAATTTTAAACAGATCTGGATCAGCGAACGCCATTCAGTTTCGACACACATCTGCTACTATATGTTCGCTAGTAATTTCGTTTGCGTCAGTTAATCAGATTCCAAGTTATGGATTAACTATTTCACACTGTATCCCTTTTAACAATTCATAGTTCATCACTTTACACACTTATTCGTCATCATCGTCATCGTCATCGTCATCGTCATCGTTATCCATCGGGCGACGGTACACACCGTCGCGTGCCGCGTATACATACATCGACGTATGCATATGATGCATACGTCGAATACTGAACGGAGTCGTCGAAATGGGCCCAAGTCATATACTTATCGTCGTTAGTCGTTCTATACGTCGTATACTCTTCGCGTGGAGTGTAACATTTTGACGATTGATAACAACTACGCACAAAGAAAATACTGATGCTGATAGTGCACATTAACTTCCTTGACCGCTAACGCGAACGTTTAACGAAGATTTAGCGTCGGAAATAAAGTATCCCGATAGAATAAAACATGCACAGTTTATTGCACGTGTTCTAATAAAATGTACGCGGCGGATATGCAGCGAGTAGTAGGTATATACAGCAAGAGAAACATCGTTTGACGACCTGATGATGATTAAGAACGTATCGTATTTAATGCGCTCATGTCGGAAGCAAGTTGGCAAAAAATTCCTACTACCCTGTCTACTTCCGGTGATTCCTGCGGATCGTTGGATATTGCGATAGAGCAGTTCGCGAAATATATGTAAGTATGCGCGCGGGGCCAAGTTCTATTTCTAACGGGCCGCGCGCCGCCGCCGCCGCCGTGAAAGAAACGATGAGTCGGAAAACATTGTCGTCGTTGCGTTACGTCATTTTTTCATACGACGGCGACGAAGAAGAAACTCGGCTATCGCTTTATCGGCTTCTCGTAGTGGACGAGTAACAACAACGAGACGAGGTACTTACAGCATACCAGAACAAGAAGTGCAGACGAACGAACCGATTGTCATGTTGACGTAAGTTGGGCCTCGCTGATGGCAGTCGAAACATTCTTTGTTACCGGGTTGCGAGACCAGCTCGCGTAATATTTTCAAATTCTTCTCGTCTTGCTTTCTTTTCGCGGTCGCCATAGCACAACGAGAACGACCACTTTGTAAATTCGAAATAGGGCCAACAGCAGACACGACACGACACGCACGACACTATACACTCGAGGCTGCTATGAAAAATCTCTTACGCGGGTAGTGGGGACTACTTGGTTGCACTTGGTGGGGATGCGCTAGGCATGGTCAGTGATTTTTAAGATCGCCAGGCTTGTCTTGGCTGTACATCTCGTCCAGTTGGCAATGTCGACATCAAATACAGTCACAAATTTTTATAAAATAAAACTGTAATGCATATCGATTAATTACACGGTTAATTATAACTGTTAGGGTTAGCGCGTATGTTAGACCAGTCTATAAGATCGTGGGTTAGATCGTCATTGTCAGAATCGAAATCAGAAGTCACTAGGACGAAATATAGTATGACCATGGCATTGCGCGGGAGAGCATCACAAAAGTGCAAGAGGGGAATAGTAGAGGGGAGCGAAATGTCAAAGTAAAAGAGGAAAAATGAGCCGTGAGGGATTTTTCATAGAATATACACTCCTCCTCCTCTCCGCTCATGCTCTGCTTGCTGCCTTTTGTTGCTGCTGCTGCTGCTGCTGCTGCTGCGGCTGCGGCTGCGGCTGCGGAACTGACTCAATCTTCTGTCACGACGGTCGCGCGTGTTCCGTAACACATTCTAAATATGTTGTTACGTTGCACGACGACGAGAAAACGCAGATCTGCAGACGCAGCTTAAGACACAATAATAATAAAAGCTGTATGCCCATGTTCGCGATCAATCTTTTTTTCTTTAACTTATTTTAATCATACTGAGGCTCGATGCTTGAGCAATCCATTTCATCTAATCGCGCGGATTAATTAAAATCAGACGAATCGCGAAAAGTACAATAGAAAACATAATTGCGAAAGTGGAGACTTTCCTGCAGCTGCTTTGTGAAAGTTCGCAGCACGTATTACAGTGCCCCAGTTAAAATGAGATTCCTTCCATGTCTATTTATACGTCCGCAAATAAGATAGCTGATCATTTTTGCGTGCCAATTATACGCAGATGATTGGTTTGTATGTATGTATGTATGTATGTACATCACATGAAAGGAATCACTTGAAAGGAATGCCGCCAAGGCTGACACGCGTAACACGCATATAAGTAATAAACGCATATTCTGCTGCTACGTACTACGTACACTACACATATGTACCATGTCGATGTCATGATATACCGGTGAAACCGTTTAATTATTTCTGTTACAAACTTCAACATACAATTGTCACATGTTACTCGGTGTGTAACACAATCTTAGAAGAAACAAAAATACTCGTCTGTATTGTGCATGCGATTACACGTGATTTCGAATAAGATGACGTCTCGTGTGACGGCAGCAGCAACACCTCTGATGAGCAGAAGGTCTATTCTTTTAAGTTCAGTAAAGAGGAACGATGATACGATCTATCTACATTATGATCGCAATGATCCTAGTACCTAGTTATACAAATATTAACCTTTACTTGTACCGCAGGACTCCTCCGATCAGAAGTAATGTACGTCATGGCAGTGTTATCGACTTGGATATTGACATGTTTTTAAAAATCTCAAATTATGAGGATACCGTGAGACAGCTTGATATCTCTTATGGGATTGGTACGTTTCACATTGACTCCGGTTCCCATAATTGATTTCATATACGCATGTAATATAATACGAGTCTTGTATACTTTTTTCACAGTTAAAAGACAATTGTTACGCTATCAGAGTTGTATAACAGGTCTTTTCCCTCAAATTTCAAATGACAAAGTAGTCGGAAGTGTCAGAGAAAGTATCTACTGTGCAGCTGCTGTATGGAGTTTGTATCAAGCGTATAGGTAAAGAAAGATGAGACGGAACACTCGAGTTTTCGGTGATCATCGACTACCACGTACCTATATTATCATTATCTTTTCTGTTAGACGCATAGACGACGACCGTGGGAAGTCTTACGAACTCGGACAGTCTGCTGTGAAATGTATGCGTGGAATTCTAGAATGTTGGGTGAAGCAGTCTCCCCGAATAGAATTATTCAAACGTAATCAATGTAATCGGTTTGCATTGCACTGTAAATTCCATTTAGACACTGGCGATGAAATTTTTAAAGATGCCGATTACAATCATTTACAAGTAATTATAGAATCAGTCGGTCGATCAATTATCATCACTACCGACGCGGCGGTGGTCGTTATAACGAAACTAATCGTCGTCGTTGTTACAGATCGATATCGTCTCCCTGTATTTAATATTTTTGGTGCAAATGATATCCTCGGGACTGCAAATTATATACACTCAAGATGAAGTAGCGTTCATACAAAATCTCGTATATTATGTGGAGAGAGCGTATCGGACGCCGGATTACGGAATGTGGGAACGCGGTAATAGATATAACGACGGTACACCCGAGATACACGCAAGTTCAATCGGTATAGCTAAAAGCGCACTGGAAGCTATCAACGGATGTAATTTATTTGGAGAAAAGGGTGCTTCCTGGTCAGTCATATATGTCGACATCGACGCGCACAATCGAAATCGAAGTATCTTTGAAACGATGCTTCCCAGAGAATCAAGCTCCAAGGTAAAGAATCATCGCCGTTTATCGTCACGAGCTATCTTCGTTGTCGTTTCCGTCGTTATCGCGGTTGAACAATAAGAACTTTGATTGCGTGCGTTTAGAGCGTGGATGCTGCTCTACTGCCTACGATATCTTTCCCGGCGTTCGCTACTCACGAAGAAGTATTGTACAACGAGACGAAGACGAGTATAATTCGACGGTTAAGAGGCAATTACGGGTTCAAGAGATTCGGCAGGGATGGATATAAGACAGTTTTAGAGAGCAAAGATCGGCGCTACTACAAATCCGGTGAACTCAAGGTCTGATATCCGTATTATCCCGTGTTTGTAGTTTTAGTTATTCGACACACGCATTTTTCAACTCTTGTACAAATCAATGATATTGAAACGATCTCATCGCATTTGTCTCTCTCTCTCTCTCCACGCGCGCGCGCACGCACAGGAATTCGATAACGTCGAATGCGAGTGGCCTTTATTTTATATCTTCATGATCATCGACGGTGTTTTCAAAACTTTGCCGGAGCAAGTAGAAGAATATCAGACTCTGTTAAAAGAACGAATGTACAAGGATAGTAACGGAGGTAAATCCGAGCCGAAGAACGTTTGCTTGTTTCTCTGTTGTCGCGGCGCCCGTATACACACGTATGATTTGATCGACGTTCTGAACCAGATCCTGTGGTACCCATGTACTATTATGTGCCCGAGGACAGTTTGGACGCAGAAAGGAACGAGCCCGGTAGTATGCATAGGCTACCAAGCAACGAAGGTAGAGGCCAGAAAATGACGGATACGGAACCTGGACCCATATATTTGTGGAATCAAGCCATGTTCGTAATTGCTCAATTACTGACCGCTGGCCTACTGCATATCAACGAACTAGATCCAATCAGACGTTATCTACCCTCGTACAACAGGCCGAGAAGAGCTGGAAGGTATTCAGCATTTCAGGTAAGCGTCGTATCGAACGCATCATATTTGCGGCCGCACACGCTATTAAATTAATCGTATAAATTACGATTATTTGACTCACCAACCCCCCGTTTGTTTCATACAGGCTAAACCGAGTATTGTAAGTAAATTATAGAATATATACGTGCAGTATGATCTATCTATTTTGTTTTAGCATCCGACAGCTTTCTTCCGCGCGTGATTGATATCGGGAATAATGTGTGTATGTTGTCTCAAAGCTTTCGCGAAATCGAAAAACAAGTGACGATGATGATGATAATGTGCAAGCTTGGACGGTACAGCGAATATCTATTAGTAGTTTTAGTCGGTCGGCAGTATCGGTTGTCTGTTTAACGCTTGACGATACTCAAAAATTCTTTTAATAACAAACGTGCCTGCTGCGATGATTCCTGATATGTAAGACGATGCATGAAGTCTAAAATCGTGGCATATCTTATTTCTGTTTCAAGACTGTGCTTGTTTTTGTTGTCACTTCTCACATACGACTCTTTGACGATACAGCGACGGCGATCGTTCACAATAAACGTTCTCTTTTTTCCTTTTACATACTAAGACTAAGCGTTACGCGATCTGATCGTCCATGTGTATATAGCCGGCTGTGTGACGATTCGACGACGACGAGTAGTGCAAGTTTGAAAAGAATGATAAGAAAATAATTAAAAACGATATTTTACGATTTTATTAATAGAATTCCACGTCTTTTATAACAACGCATGATTTATGTATTATAAATTTTCCTCGTATCAGGGTACTCATACCGATCTTGTAGTACAAATCGTTCTTATCGCTGAATCTATGAGATTGCAAGCTATGATGGCAACGTACGGTATACAAACGCAAACGCCTCACGAAGTAGAACCTGTGCAAATATTGTCGTCCAGGCAATTGGTAAAAGTTTATGAGAAGTTGGGAGTGAATCATAAGCTGAATCTACAAGGCCGGCCGTCCAGACCTATCGGTTCTTTGGGTACGAGCAAGGTACGTGGTGTGTGCGGTTGATCGCTTCCAAGTTTGTCGCCCGGCGAAATAGAAGCAAACTACTACTACTACTACTACTACTACTACTGATGGTTCAATTTGTTCGACAACGACAGGTTTACAGAGTGTGCGGTATGACGGTGCTCTGTTATCCTTTGATATTCGAAGTGTCAGAGTTTTACTTGTATAGAGACATGGCTCTGTTGATCGATGATATTAAAACTGAACTTCAGTTCGTAGGCAAATATTGGCGACTTTCGGGTCGACCTACCGTCTGTCTCTTAATTCGCGAGGAGCATATGAGGTATGTGTGTGTGTGTGTGTGTGTGTGTGTGTGGTACTCATTCGATATTGTTATTACTTCTCATACCAAGTTCGTCGGTGTCCAACGACGATGAATAAAAAATTTTACTTGTCTCATCAGGGATCCACAATTTAAAGAGATGCTCGATCTGTTCGCCATGTTGAAGAAAGGATACTGCGATAAAACAAAAGTACGAATAGGACGATTACAGAATCTTATCTCGTCGTCGTGCATTGGTAATTGAATATAGTTCATAAAATGATTAAATTTCCTGTTCGTTTGCTGTTATTGCTAAATATTAATTGATCGTGAACCGCGTCTGTATACCGCACGCGTAGAACATTTGGATTTTATAAGTACCGTAGAAACGGATCTTGAACTCACTCAATTCAAGCAACTGGAACACGATTACATCGGATACCAAAGTCTAACAGATGTTCCCAAGGCTTTGACTTATTCAGAGGATATCAAAGATTACTCGGTAAGTGCACAGGTGTCATATCTATCCATGTCGTCGTCGATGTCGACGATATACGTTCGTGACTTTTTCTTTTGGTTTCAATTACTACGTTGCTTCGTTACGTTTCAGTATTATATGAACGAGCCCTTGTACAATGTACTCGACGAAATTCGTAATAACAGGAGTCTTTACAGTTTGTGCCAGCTTTATGGTATTCTCTTGAAACGCGAAAGTATCAACTATGAAATTAATGGAACAACAGGTGAGATATCATTTCTATGAGAGACAGATGATGATGATGATGATGATGATTGAGAGACTCGTCGTCATCGACGATGTACACATACTCGATCCTGATTTTTACATGTTCCTCGTTGATATTTCATTCCAGTCGGAGATCATTTAAGATCATTGTATCAACAAGCCGGCAGCCTCAGATACTGGATGGTTGTCCGTTATTGCAGCAGTTTACTGAATCACACTGTTGACAGTATAAGTCCTTTTATAACAGGCGTACTCGTTAAACGGAAACAGGTGGGTATCGCTGAACATGGCGACGATCACATCCGGGTTCGATATCAAGTTTCAATTTTAGACTATGTAGTTATAAAAACTGCTGTCGTGTGCTGTTGTGTGTGATTTATTATTACCGTGTGTAGCGTCTCTCATAAGATGTTCTCTTTGTGCGTAGATAACGGTCGGAGTGATATGTCATGAAGAAACAGTGTTTGATAAACCAATGACACCTACAGAAATTCAATCGGTCATGTATTCTACGATTCAACCGCACAACGTGGTGCAGGCAGTACTTCAGCAGGAAGTTTTATTGTACTGTGGTAGGCTGATCGGAGCACATCCAGAAATGTTTAAAGGGATACTCAAAATTCGTATTGGGTACGCGTGGCGTATAGCGCAATTCCGCAGTAATCATATAGTATTATACGTCTCAAAGTGAAACGCATATACCAAGATGTGATGGTGGTGGATCTGTTGTGTTTACATTGGTGTTGTTTATCATCCATAGATGGGTGTTGGAAGCTATAAAGCATTACTTGGAAATGTTCGTCCAGAAGAATCCAAAACCCATCGAGGATTATAGTCCATTCGAGATTCGGCGATTTCTCATCAAAGTATTAACTGTGAAAGATTGGGCCAAAGATGAAAAGTAATCGTCGATCGTAATAATCGTATACAATAGCTTTTTAGCTCTGTAATCACGTGAAACGCGATACAAGAAAATAATTCGTGCACACCTCTGCTTTGTTCGTTTGTTTGCAGGCTTACAGTTTTAGGACGCAGGAAAATCGAAGGTTGCCTGTGCAGAGTCCCTGCCCATTTCTATAATCACGTATGGGAAGTACTGATGCGTTGTCCTGGCGGCATCAGCGTCAGCGGTCAACAATTACCGCAACAACCTACTTTGTCCAACATGACTCGTTCAGAAATTACGTTCGCTTTACTCGTGGAATCTTTGCTTCATCATATACAGGTGCCGGAATATCGGCAAATCATTGTCGAGGTACTGTTACTACAGTCATCATCATCATCATCATCATCATCATCATCATCATCATCATCATCATCGAATATAAAAATATTCTTCTCTGCATGTACATACACATAATGCTGCATTCCGTTTATTGTACGTACTTTTACCACGTACAGCTGCTGACCATAGTGTCGACGATTTTACTACGAAATCCCGAGTTGAGCTTCCAGAAACAACTGAATCTGAATCACCTTGTCGAAGACAGTTTCCAGATGTATTGCAAGGTACCGCAGCAGGATCTACTATCATCGTGCGAAAATTAATATTTATACACGCGCAATTCGAAATTTACTCCGTTATATGACTTGGCACTTTTTCTTTAGGACCACGACTTGGAACGAACCACTACTGATCAAACGGTATTTTTCTCCGCTCACTATTCGATAACGACGGGATATCTCGCCAGAGCCATCGTCAATAACGTCCTCACAGGTGGAAGTTTTGCGACCATCAACGACATTACTAATACGATCGAAACCAAAGAAACTTGTAAAATAACATAAAAAAGAAAAGTAGTCGAGTAGTCGTGTTGTTGTTGCTGTTTGTAAAATAGAATACTTGTTCGTGACGACGAGACACGTTACAGAATCGTACAAAAATTTGATTGATTCGACCCGGTTAAAATCATCTTTTAGCAAAATTCGTATCCATCGCTCTACCAGACCGTTGTATATTGTTTATGTTGGCTTTAATTCTCGAAGCAACGGTACCTACTTCGGCAGCAACCGCTAATTGTTTTCTGACGAAATCTTGACTGTACACTTTCCCACTGTCCATCTCTTGCTTCTCTTCTTCTCGATACTTTTTAACATTTTGTTCTCGTTCTTTGTCTCGCCACGTTGCATTCTCTATCATTTCTTGTCTACGTCGTTCTTTTTCTTCCTCCGTGAGAGCTTGTTTCTGTTCCTTGGCTGGGTTCCGTTTTCCATCTTCGTTCCTCCTCCTCCTATCTTCGTTATAATATTTTTTTCTAGTTACTTCTCCAGAATTTACTGTTTCCCTTTTATGCGTTGATTCGCGGTTTGAAACAGTTCTGTGCCTGTCTTCAGCGTTCAGTGTCGTCGTCTGGATATGGTAGTTGATATCCCGACGAGAGTCTTCCCGTTCCTTGTTCCTTGAACGACGACGACGACTTCTTGAGCGGAATGAGCTGCGGTCTTTCTCCCTACGATCATCACTACTACTGTCTCTGCTGTTGCTGCTGCTGCTGTTACTCCTACTACTGCTACTATTTCTTTTATGCGTCCTACTTTTTCTTTTTCCTACTACGACCGATCTGTTGTAGTTACTTTCTTCGCTTGAACTCGAGCGAGTACCATGTTTCTTACGTTTTCGTTCTTCTTTCTGGTGTTCCTCCTCCTCCCCCGCCGCCGCCGTTTCTTCTTCTTCTGCTACTGCTGCTGCTCGGCCCTCAGCACTTGGGAAACCATGTTTTTTCTTCTTCGTCTTACCGTGTTTCTTAATTTGACAAATGCTTTCTTTACTCTTTCTCTTCTTATATCCCTTCGTCTCTTCGTCGCTGGAATCTTCTTCGCTTCGTTCGTCGCTCTGCGACTCGCTACTCGAACCATCGTTCTTCTTTTTCAATTTCTTTTTTTGCTTACGTTTCTTCACTCTCTTCACCGACTTGATTAAATCTTTATCGCTGATTCTTTCCTTCAATTTCTTATATTTAGCAGCCAGTAACAGATCCAATTGTGCTTCATCGTCACTGTCGATATCCTCCTTGCGCTTTTTCATTTTCTTGTCCTTCCTCTTTCGCTTCGTCTGGTTTTTGCTAATCTTCTTTTCAGTTTTCATTTTCTTCGACTGCTCCTGCTGCTGCTCCAACAACTGTTGTAACTGCTTCAGTTTAACTGGGTTCTTTAGCAGCTGACTCCTCGTTTCCATCTCTTTCTTCTTTATGGCGTACAAAGGATCCTCTTGCATCTTTCTTGCCAAGTCGACTTGCTCGTTGCCAGAGAAGAAACGTAGCGATGGTGGGATACATTCGTGCTCGACATGATTTTTGGATGTTGGATTCTGAGTTGCAGCAGTCACATCTTTTTCTACTCGAGCCAATTGTTCGAAAGACTTGTCAATGGGCTTCCCGAGTAAATAATCTTCTCTGTCGACCATCTGATTGGGTCCCTTGTACATCCAATCTAATTTCTTGTCATCTTTCTTCTCTATTACACCCTGTTCCATCGCATACTTCTTTATATCTTCTCTGTCCTTCTCCATTTCTATTTCCTTCTTCAGTTCGGCTATCTTCTTCTTCTCTCGACTGTCCTGCTGCTCTGCCTTCCACACCTTTTCCATATTCTTCATGGTAGATGGATGCCATGATTTCTTCAAATTCTACCTTGCCCAAATCGAATAAATACACACGGTTAAGACGATTGCTGCTTGCTGATATAAATGCGTCTATTGTAATTAATTTCATTTCACATTACACAAATCGACTTACCAAATCTCCTCCACCCATTTCTGATTGATTAAAGAGCGAAGAGCACGCACCACAGTATCGTAGCAATTCAACAATTACAGATAAACTGTTTCATCGATTATAACCAAGTAACGAACAGTGTTTCTTCGTAACGTGTGATTTATTGCCATTTATAATGCATTCACATCTTACCTAATTCGATGTAATTAATTCACGTTCACTTACGTTCACTGTCACGGTTTTGCACGCCATGCAATGCACGGTCGCGGTCAGTCGCGGTCGAGGCAGTTGCAGTTGACTGGCAGCAATGGCAGTAACAAAATAATTTACGCGAAGAGAATTGGTATCCCTAGCTGTGACGTCCATGTCTATGAGCTTCCCATTGGCACATTTTGCAGACTGGGTAGCTTATTATTGGTCAGCGTATGCGGCTTCTAGCACAGTATCAGCACAGTATAGTATGTGTCAGAAAGAATCCAACATGTGCCGCCATGTTCATTTTGAGTATGCTACAGTATGCTACATGCTATAGATGATATTCGTAGATTCGCGTATTATCACCTATGATTTACCTGTGCTGCTTGTCTTTGAAATTGTTGTATTGCTCGCACATATAGGTTTTAAAATGTCCGGTTCCACGTCCCATGAATCCCCTAAAGGCAATGTTCCGACAAAAACTAATGTGCAGAAGAAACCGACGTGTATCATTGTTCTTGGGATGGCTGGATCTGGAAAAACTACATTTGTACAACGACTCGTTTCAGTACTGTACAGCGTAGGGAAACCGTACGCGATAAATTTGGATCCTGCGTGCAGGGAGGTTCCTTACCCAGCTAACGTAGGTAATTACTAGACCAGGCAAGTGTAAGTATTATTGTTCTATATTTGGCGAGAACATGTTCGATGAAAAGTCAAATGTTTTAGACATCAGGGATACGGTCAATTACAAGGAGGTGATGAAACAGTATAGCTTAGGTCCGAACGGTGGCATCGTCACTGCTTTAAACCTTTTTTCCACAAAATTCGATCAAGTGATAGGACTCATCGAGAAAGCAGGCAAAGAACATGAATACGTAATTTTGGATACCCCTGGCCAGATCGAAGTTTTCACATGGTCGGCGAGTGGTACGATCGTCACGGAAGCCCTTGCATCCCAGTTTCCCACGATCGTTGTGTACATATTAGATACCGTGAGAAGCGTGAATCCAGTGACGTTCATGTCCAACATGCTGTATGCTTGTTCGATCTTTTACAAGACCAAACTCCCCTTTATCGTTGCCATGAATAAGGTAATATTTCCATGAAATGAACGGGGGGCGAAGCGACCGGGCCTTATCGGAACCCTCGTAGATTGGCGACGATCAAAGTGACACTAGGTGTAATTTTAACGTTTCAAGACCGATATCGTCGAGCACAGTTACGCTGTGGACTGGATGCACGATTTCGAAGCATTCCAGGAAGCTTTAGATTCGGAAACTAGCTACATCGGCAACCTGACACGTAGCATGGCTCTCACTCTCGACGAGTTCTATTCTCATTTACGTAGTTGTGGCGTTTCCGCTGCAACTGGGGCTGGCATCGGAAAGTTTCTCGACCTTGTTCGAGATGCTGCAGAGGAATACGAGAGGTGGACGACGTTTCTCCGATGAATGTACGCGCGACGATACGTAGGTGACAATCTTTTTGTTTTTTCGTTAAAGGGATTATAAGAAGGACTGGGAGGAAATGAAAGTGAAACGCAACGCGCAGAGGCTAAAAGCGGAGAAGGAACAAGTTGAATTAGCGACCCGCCGCCCAGAAGTTACGGCCGACGGATTGGTATCTACGATTAGTAGCGGCAGAGAAATTTCAGACGTGTACCTGAAGCACGCGGGCGACGAGTCGAGCGAGGACGAAGAAGGTACTGAGAATCCGTTTAACGGCGAAGAACAGGAGAGGGAGGCGTTCAAGAATTTTTTAGAGAAGCACAATGAGAAGCACCAAGAGAAAACCAAGGTATTTGTTTCCGATCGACCTGCAACGAGTAGTAGAGATACGTAGTATAGAAATTATTACTGTCTATCGATAAATAAACTTTTAATGACAAAGACATTGTACATTCGATATAAACGACATACGTGCATCATTCTATATTACCACTATTACTACTACTATTACTATTATTATTATCAACATCATTACCATTATTATTGTTATTATTCGAAGGACGCGTAAGTGTAGTTAATGTTACTGACGAGTAATGTTCCGAATACATATTCTCAAGTAGATTTAATTGATATTCTTCGGAATATTCCAGTTTAGATGATAAACATTGCAACTAGGTGCAACTTCGGACGAGTTCTCCTTTTTAGAAGCAATCGGCACCGGATATTTCGCGATCCAATCTATAGGAGGTTCATGGTTCTGCGGGGTGTATAAACCCAGACTAAATACTGAAATCATGTTGCAACGAAACGGTTTAAATACAGGTGTTTTCTTTTGTCTTCTTTTTTTTTTTTTTTTGATTAATTTTATGGAATTAATCGGGTTTCGCTACCTTTCTCGGGACAATTTAAGGAATTTCCGTTCCTTATTCTACGTTGATTCGTTCGTTGATACTCTCGTGATATCTGTTCTAAAGCTTTTGTTAACGCCAACTGGAAAGATCGACGACGCTTAAACAAATGATCGTAAATGAACGTACATGATCGATGGCCAATACCATGATTAACGCGGTGCGTTAACAAGTGCGTCGTCGTCGTCGTCGTTCGTCGAACACCACGTGGTGTCGTTTTAACAACGTTGAAAAAGTTGAAATTTGTTAGTTACCCGGCACGTGTGCAGGCGCGACACGCGGTGATCCTTCTTGTTTTCGAAACTCTGTTCCGTGATTCTGGTTTTCTGTATGCGTTGACAATGTTTGAGTTTCCCGGCGGCGGCGGCGGCGACAGATGTCTTTCGGTATACCCTCGACAAGAGGTCCGGTCGGCCAGTGCGAAAGTTCTCGTGTAAGAACTCATGCACGTCCGGGTTGTGCGAGTTGCAGATCGGATCCCGGTTGTGCGACGTCACCTTCCGGAAACCGTAAAGGTTCAGTTGCCGTATAAAGCTGGTAATGTTCTTCGTTTTGAAGATGGAATTGCCCGCGTGAAGATATTGTTCCTGAAACTTCTTGTAGTCGAGGAGAATCGTGTTGCCGTGCAGGCTCCAGCGTATAGCGCCGCTCTTGCACTCGTTCACGATTCGCCACAGTTTCTGCGGGAACCGCAACGACAAGAATATGCAATCGTCAAACATCGTAGATCCGTTGGAGGCGATTCGAACGTTGTCGTCGCCGTCGTGTCAAACTGGTAAACGTGCACTGCCAGTTTTCGCCCTGTCTTCTTGGAATACGCTCGCGTTTCATTTCGCGTCTCTGAATAAAAGACTATCGTCGTATCACAGCAACAATGTTTCCCCCACGGGAATCGCGCACGGAACCGCTGTACACTGTACGTCGTACAGTGTACCGTTTTATCCTGTTGTCGCGAGCTCAAACATCAAGGGGCGCGGTAGCGGCCCGAAGGCATATCATTATACTCGTGTAGGCGTTTAATGAGAACGCCGAGTAACGTGTATTTGCACTAGATTACGTACAAGATTCAATGTCTCTTACAACGTCGTATAGGAATCGTCGATTATAATTACGGTAATAAATTAATTGGAGTACGCTCGGTAGGTTCCCCTAAGAATTACAAAATATTAATACTACTTACTGCAGGGCAGTGAACCGTAGTTACGGCTCACAAACTCTCGCAGCCGCCGCCGTCGCCGCCGCCGCTTCTCTGATGTTTCTCCGAATTATTACTATGATAACTATACATATTATGTAACAACCTCGATTATAATTAGCTCGACGAATCTTTTATCGACGTTCTTTCGATTTCCAATATCTCGTCGTTGACGAAGACTTCCACGCGATTAATCTATATATGTAAGGAAGCCTGGTCTATTTAAGAATAAATTCAAGATCGATTTGTATCAGTCTTTCGATCTGAACGCCGGACGCTTGATGTCGTAAAAGATATGTAGATGGAAGAGGAACCATTATTACCTGCTGCTTTTATCAAGCTATATAACCCACAAAGAGTTCCTGATTCTCTTTCCTGGTTCTAAATTGACGTCGATCCAGATTCCAGAAATCAGTGACGATGTCGATGACGATGTGTGCATCTTACGAGATTGTTAGTAGGTATCAATCAGGACAGGGCCAGGGTAAAGTTTGCAAGTATTCGCGCGGTTTAGCCGGGGCAGGCAATAAATAACCGTCTGGATCTAATACGTCCGGTGTACGGACAGTGACCGGGCCCTGGGGTGGCCTAGGCAAGGTGTCCTGTTCAACGGATTTAGCCCTTTCGAGGCTCTCCAATATCTCCGGAAACTTGATCCTGTCCTTAGGGTCCGTCTTCCAGCATTCCCGCATTAGCTGACATACGAAAGGTGGACACTCTTCCGGAGGAATCAACATTATCCCTTGGAAAATTAATTTTACTACCTGCAATTATAATGCGATTCGCTTGTAACGGTTCGAGTTTCGCCGGTCGGTCCTATATTTACCTCTTCGTTGTTGTGCCCATAATATGGTTGCTTGCCGAACGAGTACACTTCCCATAAAACGACGCCGAAGCTCCACACGTCGCTTTCCAATGTAAATCGACCGTACATCACGCTTTCCGGCGACATCCAACGCACGGGTAAAAGTCGGGAACCTCCTATCTGAGGTGAACGAAGAAGTAAGAGGAAGGAATATTCTGGTTGAATCGCTCGCGCAACGTCTTGTCTTTTCATACGCGCGCGCGCGCGCGCGAGATAGTACTTACTTTGTAATAATCGCAGGTGTACACGTCCCGCGACATTCCAAAGTCTGCGATCTTGACCACGAGATCGAAACCGACCAGGCAATTCCTGCACGCCAAATCTCGATGGACGAACCTTTGACCCGAGAGATAAGTCATACCAGCTGCAATTTGTATCGTTATCCAATGCAGAGATTCCTGGGGACATATACGCGATTTATCCGCGATCGTTGCACAGTTTTGAAAAAAGAAACATCCGATCCCATCGGTTTGATTTTTCTTTTTTTTTTTAGACTAATTAGACATAATTCGGACAGTAATATTCGTACCTGAGTCAAGGGTTGCAACCCGGGCTTCGTCGACCTGAGCGCTCTCGAATTTGATCGCAACACTTCTGCCAAATCGCCGAGAGGCATGTACTCGAAGACCATCCACGGGCTATTGTTACCTTCCCGCAGGACTACTCCTTTCAGCGTCAGGATATTGCTGTGCCGAAACGTCGACATAATGTCCACCTCTCGCATAAAATCCTCCTCGGCTTCGCGCGACGCGCTGTCCTTCAGCACTTTTATCGCGACGATCTCTTTCGAGTCCCCGGTACAGGATTCTCCTAATAAATCACGACAATTAAATCTAGTTTAATCGTATTGAAATTTTGGGACGAGACCTTTCTACCCGACAGGCGTGTCAACCATGTTCGATTCTCGCACAGGGTTCGCGATTGGATCAATCGTGTCTTTCTGTCGTATTCCGGTTACGAGTCTGTCTTTTTCAAGTTTCTTACAAGCTCGATGTCTTCGTATACCTTTGTACACTTTTCCAAAACATCCTTCGCCAATGTCTTGCAGGAACAAAAGAGATTCGCGTTGCAAGATCGGCACTTCCGGCGAGGCACAACTGAAATACTGTGGATTAGGCGTGTACTTGTTCGCTAACAGCAATCCTTTCTTCAAATTCATCGGCGTTCCCTGCAGAGAGAGAGTGACGATATTTACAACGATCAACGGCGATCATCGAACGACCCGCGATCGATAGATTTTTAGTTGTTATCAATCAAGACACGTACATCCAGGGAGTTCCTCGATGATGATTTCACGTTGTAACTCCGTTTCCTCACGCAGTACACTATACCGAATAATATCGCTAATACAGCTACGAAGGCTATGGCAATCCCTACTATTTCGGGTACCCTCTGTCTGACCCGCTCCACCTGTTGAACAGGCCAAAGCTGCGTATACTTGTAAATTCGACGAGTAAATCATCTAGCGTCGACTCGTGATCGATTACCTGTTCGGCTTCCGGAAGAGCGGTGGTACCGTTGCTGGTAGCGTTACCACTGGGAGGTATTATGTTGGGTATAGGCCGGGGCGTCAAGGGAACTAACAAACGATCGTTAAGATTAGGGCAACGTATTCCAAGTTTTTTCTTTTTCTATTCGACGAAACGAAACAATGACTTGGCGTAATAGCGTCCGGCTGACCTGTAAGGCGATTCGGACATTTCAAGTCCAACGTGGGCGAGGAGAGATCGTGCGGGCAAACGCACTTGGAGGTATCGTTTTGGTAGCTACGGCAGGCCGCCTCTTTTCCACAGATGTGAGGCCGATCTTTGCATCCCGTGATTCCCGCGTTCCCCGTGTTGTTGACAGGCAACGACAGCCTGACCGTTACTACTTCTGATTGTTCCGCGGACACGACCGCTGATAATTCTGTAACAATATTTACGTGTTATCGCGACCGTGTCGGTTCGAGACTGCGAGTCCACTTATTTCGGGCGAATCGAAAACGTTTTATCTCGTACGTGTGCGCGCGTTGCGTACGTTTTACAACGACGACGACGACGACGACGACGACGACGACGACGACGACGACGACGAAGACCATGAACAAAGTCGTATATGTCAGAGCTTTCGAGAGCGGCAGCAAGTGGCTGTAGCGGCCGTATTTAAGGTGATGATGAAGCCCCGTTGAATTTACGCGGTAACCGTTTACGGGGTGCGGTAACGGTTCGGAATAAGCTGGTCGAGAAAAAGGGCTACATATTTGGATCGGGCCCCCGAGACAGTGAGGGCATTCATTTCGTGCTTGAAGCTTGTAACGGGTCAAAGCGTTATCTCTGCGGTCAGCGCTCCTCGACAACGAGTCTCGCTATGTGTACCTCGTGTATTATCGCCCTCTCGTATGCCTTCCCGCTTCCTACGGGTCTTTACGAGGCCCCGTCGAGGCCGTATCGCAGAAGATCGCTCGATTTCTACTCTAAATTCGTTTACCACGTTCGTCACGAAAAAGAATCACGGGCAAGCAGCAATTGGAATCTGTGCAAACTGTCCAAAGTCTTCTGGCTCAAAGCTCGTGAATTCCATAAAACGGGGAAGGGCTGCTGCTCGTCACAGAGACACGCGACGAAGCGTCGTCGGCGTCAGCAAGTTCGAAATCTCCTCTTTACGATAAACACGTCTCTGTTCCATTAATTGGAACGTGACGCTGTACATACGTAGATTCTTCGACCGAGTCACCTACATCGTTGGCGACCTTTGCTCTTTGTTGTGGATGATGGTTGAACAAATGTGACCCGCGATATCGTGCGTGGTGACTCGACCGGGCAAACACCGCCGGCCGTCAATTATTACGTTTCTTTTTTAAACCAGGCTTATGTACGATGTACGCTTAAATGTTCCGTTAACGGGGGAAGATTGTTGAACAACGCGAGAAAGGAACCGTTCCGCCGTTGTTCTTCCTCTCATTATTGTTTCAACGGTTTTGGAAACGGGCCGTAAGCGCGCGCGTCCAGCCATGGTCTATTTGCAAATCTGATCGTGAGGTCTAGCCCAGAGACTACAATAGAGGCATTGTAGGTGCGTCGTGGGTGGAGTTGGTCTACCAAAACACTTCTCTAACCCATGCTGCTGTTGCTGCTGCTGCTGCTGAAAGACCCGGAGATGCTGCGCGTAGCTTATCATCTCGGGTCAGCGTTATCGGGGAAGGTCGAACGCATCGATATTGAAGATAAGTTTAAGTCAGAAAGATGTAGTTGGTGTTTTTTCACGGAAACACATTTCAGTCCTGTTTCTTTCAAATTCAACAATACATACGAGTAATCTAGTTAAAATTAATTACGATTATTACAACGAACCGAAAGAGGAGCTGAATAAGAAAATCAAGTGACTCTTGCCTGTTGGTTAGTGTCACTGGCATGTGTAAGTTGAGGATGCTTCGGGAGCTGTACGCATATTTTCTCCTATTACGTTTCTCAGTACGACTGTACAATGGGGAAAGAATTATCGTGATAATAATGGACGAAGATAACGAGATAAACCGAACGTATAAAGGTCAGAAAAGTGGTGAATTTGTAGAGGAAACCTTTTCGTATCTCACGCAAACATATCGATGAGTCACGTTAGGAGAATTTGTATCGTTTTTAATTCCTCGTGCTTGTTCGCAAACAGTTATCCATGTTACTTTCTCCCGATTTCAGGTATCCTATTACATACGTGAATATATCGCGACCGACACAATAGAAAAGTTTGAACATATAAGTTGATCGTATAATAATTAGTTTTACCCTCTGGCCTGACTTCTGCGGAGGAAAGGCCCCTTCTTCGCGGTACTCGCGGTCGCCGCTCCATCGTTCGTTCCGGAACCAAAATGGACGAGAAAGCCGAGTTACACCACCCTCTGTCAACGCGACTCGCTCGAATTTCACCTACGGCGATCAAGTTCGCGGTTTTTCATGATCCATCGTCGAACGCGAAATTGTTGAGAGCCACCATGTCAAAGCAGCCATTGGGTATCGTGCGATTTCAATACGCGACACTGCCGTTCTGCAACACTCACGTTCACAGAATCACATGACAACCGACACAATTTTATCGTTTAAATCGTCTCGCGTGGACCAACGTTCTCGTCCAGTTTGATAACTGGCAAACGATCAAAGTGCAAACGTCGACCACTAAATTGCACGCTAGTTTCCTGTACTTTGACTTGCCCGACGTATCGAAGCACGTCGTACGATCGCGATGATCGTGACCAACGACTCGATCGCGTTTTAATCGCGCACGAACAAGGGTGTGAAAAGGGCCGGTCTCGAAAATGTGTCCCAGAAACGGGAACGTGAAGAAAATGGAAAAAGTTGTTGGCGCTCGAACGATGGGAACGTGAAGGGGTTGCCCAGTCGAGCCGGATCGGAGGTCCTCTGTCTCGAACGGATGCTTACTCGAAACTAAAGATCGACTAACGACCGCCTTCGAGAACTCCCTCGCATCGCGGCGATACGCAAGAGACACAAGGAACTGGAAGAGCAGCACGCACACAGGGAACGAATCTTGCTTGTCCGTGGGCATGGTCGAGAGCGGGAGAGCCAAGGATTTCCATACGGCTTACGACGTATGAAACGTGGTTCATCATCGACGGGGTTCGACCTACGCTATCGCGATCTCGTTCCTTTTTCAGTCGCGACTTAAGGGTGGAGCGCTTCTTGTTTTGCGGCTTTAATCTCTGACACGTGCCAAGCTTACCGAGAGTTAAAATCGACGAGTGGGCAGCACGCGCGGCTCAGCTCAGCGTATAAACGCGTCGAGCTGAGCACGTGGAAGCCTATGAAAAATTAAATATTCCTCGAAATCCGAGATGGGCGGGTCTCGTTCGAGACGGGGCTGTTTGTTTAATAGCAATTTTCCATTCGGATGAGAAGAGACGCACGCTTTCGTATTACTCTACTAACGACTCTGTCTGCATCTCGGTCCGATCGGTTTGATAAGAGCGGTGGCGGCAGCGGCGGCGGCAGCGGCGGCGGCGGCGGATCGGTTTTCCCCTTCTCTACGTTTTGCGTTCTGTTCATGAATAACTTGACTTTTCAGCTTTCTGATCGCGATAAACAAGTCGAGGAGTCACGAACGCTTGCTCGTGTAATCTCGATTAGCCGGCCGTAAAAATTAGCAGAATTACGTAAATCGAGAATAAGAAGAAGAAGAAGAAGAAAATGATGCACGCCGTCGAAGCCGGGAGCATACGTTAATATAGTTTTCGAAGAGGCTACCGTAGTCGGAATGGCGTAAGTGTTGTATATTTACACTGGCGTTACAGGCTCACACCTGGACGCAAGAATAGCGCCCGGGTTTCTTTTTCCCCGAAATATTTTCTCGGCCGTGCATCGGACGTGCCTTCTCCCCCTCGGCTCAGGGAACAAAGGGAATTTCCTTCCGTTTGTCTTACAATTTTATTTATTCGTACGTTCGTTCGTTCGTTCGTTCGTTCGTTCGTTCGTTCGTTCGTTCATGACTGATGACCAGCAGCTTGACGACCATTGTAGTGACCGATTCGCGAAACAGATTCTGAATACAGAATATTAGCAACAACCGCCTCCCACTCCCAATTTTTCAGTGTTTGTTCGACAACGAATCTCTGATCCTGATGATACTTTTACGCTCGAGTCTATCGTCTCGGTTTATTTGTTTAGTCTTTTCGTCAATTTGTCCATGTTTACTTAGGCGATGTAGAAAAACGACGTTTGATAGACGTATAGACGGACGTAAGGAGCTTTCGTTGGTCCTTCAGCGGAAGATAAACGACGTATTCTTAAGCTCGATCCGAAGGCGAAGAGGGTGGCGTTACAGCCGGTAGTCGGGTCGCCGACGAGCTTTGGACACCGTGCTGCCGCCGCCGACGCCACCGCCGCCGCCGCCGCGGGGACCGGAACAACGGCATGCATGCAGATGGTAGCTGTGAGAGGGGGGTGGTTTAAAATAATAAAGAAGCTGGCACGAAGATGAGAAGTGTTTGTGTTTCCGATTCCGAACGACGACGACGACGACGAGATGCAACTGGAAAAATGTAGAACGTGAAAGACAATACATCGGACAAGACCGTACTTATCGATGGTTTCCTGTCCGCGATCATTTAACCGCTTCTTCTTTACCGAACCGAAACAACAATAAACGTAACGCATTTTACGGTTCAATGAAATTAGAACCTTCAAAATTCTACGGGATCTCGTACGTATATACGTACGTACGTACATCCAAGTTCGATACCGTATGAATACCTAATGCAATTACGTGGATGTGCTCGCATGATCGAATACAATTTAAGTAATTGCTCTCCCTCTCTTCGCGATGAAACTGATCAATTATTTCTATTGCGACTGAACGTATGTGCATATAATATCGTGCTGGTAGAAAGCTGACTGAAGCTGACACGCGAGTCTAGAACTGCTCGATATCCATTTAATGAAACCGTGTAGCTTCGAGCAATTGTAGAGCGATTGTTGTAACTACGCCGACATGAAATACAAGTATAAACCATCGTTGAGCGAACTCCGAAACAGCTTAAAGCTCCGAGCAAGGGAATATTTTCTGGAAAACAGTTTACACGGCATCCCTTACTTCGTCGATTCTACGCGGCCCAAATGGGAAAGGTATACCACTACTACATTACATACAATAATTGTGCTCTCTTCGCCTCGCGCAGTAATTCGGTTAATTTCTACTTCTTCTCTACTAACTATGTATCGATTGGTTCCCAATGCAGAGTGGCATGGTTCTGTTTGACAGTGACGTCCGTGATAATGATTTCACTTATAATCGTAGATATTTTGAAGGAATTCCGTACAGATCCGACCATAATTGAATTGGATATAAAGACGTCTCACATCGAAATTCCTTTTCCCGATCTGATCATATGCGCTCAGTGGAAACATATGAATCACTCGTATATTCGCAAGGTAACGTTGTCAAAAATGTGACGTGAAAAATCGACTTGTCTCAACGTACGTGTGTGTAGGAGGAAATGCGTCTGCACGAACAAGTGTACAATTGGGTGTTTGGAAAAAATGTGAACATCACAGCATATTCGTCTAACGCTCTGTACGAGGACAGAAACAATTTTCGCCGTACGTTCGAAACGATGATGCCGGCTTGCGATTCTCTACTTACTAATTGCGAGTACAAGTACGTCAGATGATGGAAGAAAAGAGATAATAAGGATATATTGGCTGTACAGTCAATCCCAAAAGTTTATGTACCTTAGAAAAACGCTATATAATAT